TGTGGGAGACACACGAGCACTGGCATGTTTGCATGTGGGGGCTACACACATGAGCGTGGGCATGTTTGCGTGTGGGGGACACATACACTTACACACATGAGTGCGGGCGTGTTTGCATGTGGGACACACATGTACATACACGAGCACCGGTGTGTTTGCATGTAGGGGACACACATGTACACACACACACGAGCATGAGGGTGTTTGCATGTGGGGGACGCACGTACACACACGAGCAGGGGCGGGTTTGCATGTGACACACACACATTTTGCCCAGAGGATTTTTGCATCAGTCCCAAACTCCCCAATGTAAAGAGGAGCAGAGCCCGACCCCCGCTGGGCGCAGAGCACTAGTGAACTCGGAGGCTCACGTGTATTCCTGCTGGGCGGGCCAGGCCGTGCCGCCGACACCCGAGAACTGCTGTTTTCGGCATGGCTGACACTGTGGCAGGAGGAATGTGGCGCCCTGACCAGGGTCGTAGCCTGTGCCCAGCTCTGCGTGCCGCCTGTGCCGGTCCTGCGCACCAGGGAGAGGGCCCTTGCCATCCTCGTGCAGGCAGCACCCGGCTGGGTGCCAACGCTGAGCTGTCTGGTGCTTTTGGAGCATCTGAGAACCAGGCAGCCTCGTGCCCAGCCCTGCTCACGATTCCAGTGCACGAGGGGCCAGGTTCCCGGTGCTTCCTTCCCCTTGTCAGGCAGGGGCCCAGCAGAGCTGTAGTGGGAGCCCGGCAGCAGGGGTCTGAGTGTGGACTCTCCTCCGGAGAGGAGCGGAGTGGGGGGCCGGGATAAACACAGGCAGGTCACTCCCAAAGTGTCCTGTCAGGCTGTGGGGGCACAAACCCCGCTCCGAGAAGGACCAGGGTCCTGCAGGGAGAGCTAAGAACTCTGCCACTGAGCATTAGCATGGGCAGCGTGCGCCCCATTGCAGTGAGCACCGAGGGGTGTGTTTGTGTGCGTGCGCCCCATTGCAGTGAGCGCGAGGGGGGGGGTGTACGCCCCATTGCAGTGAGCGCGAGGGGGGGTGTACACCCCATTGCAGTGAGCACCGAGGGGTGTGTTTGTGTGCGTGCACCCCATTGCAGTGAGCGCGAGGGGGGGTGTACGCCCCATTGCAGTGAGTGTGTGGTACATGTGCGCCCCATTGCAGTGAGCGCTGAGGGGTGCGTTTGCGTGTGCGCCCCATTGCAGTGAGCGCGAGGGGGGGGTGTGCGCCCCATTGCAGTGAGCGCGAGGTACGTGTGTGCACCCCATTACATTGAGCGTGAGGTACGTGTGAGCGTGAGGGGCTGCCCGCCGAGCCCCCCCGTAGCTCCGGTCTGCCCCCCTCGTTGCAGAGACCAGGTGCGCGACGACGGAGTTCCGGTGCCGGGACGGGAGCTGCATCGGGAACTCGAGCCGCTGTAACCAGTTCATCGACTGCGAGGACGCGTCGGATGAGATGAACTGCAGTGAGTGCCAGCACTGCGCGGGGGGGACCTCCCCTCGGCCCCCCCCTCCACGGCCCCCACCCCCAGGCCCTTCTGCCCGCCTGTACCCTGCCATGAGCCAGTTCTTCGGGGGTGGGACTCGCCCGCGCTTCCCTCCCGACTGAGGCCGAGCCAGGTTATTGTGTCCTGGGAACAGGCCCGGCCTCCCTGTCACTTCCAGGCCGCCCTGCACAGCCCCTGACGTGCCGCCTCCCGACAGCTCGTCAGAAGCACTTAGTGAGGTGCAGCGAAACGTTGGGCGCGGGAGACGGGCAGAATGGATCGGCCTGGCACCTGCAGCCAGCGTGGGGCGGGCAGGGCTGGTAGCAGGAGGGCACCAGGGCAGCAAGGGATCTTCTCCCCTGGCAGTGACAGAGGAGGGCTATGATGGGGGAGGGAGGACAAGTGTGTGTGTAACTGAGTGTGTGCACGGTGTGTGTGTGAGTGCACTGTGTGTGTGCACAGCGTGTGTGCCCGTGCATGTGCTGTGCGTGCACAGCGTGTGTACTCGGTTTTCAGCGGTTCCCCCAGTGGCTCTCTGATGTCTGGGCCAGAGCATTGGTCTCCCCTTTCGTGGGTTGTTCGGGCGGTGGCTGCTCCCCGAGCCCTGCTCAGCTGCCAGCCAGTGTTGTGAGGGTGCAGAGGATGGAGGGGACTCCCCTGCCAGGCAGAACACGGGGCGGGTGGCGGCTGGGAGCTGTCCCCTGCCCGCGTGCCGAGGACAGTATCCACTCCGGGCTTTCCCGTAGGCGCCACCGACTGCAGCAGCTACTTCAAGCTGGGGGTGAAAGGCTTGACGTTCCAGAAGTGCGAGCACACGTCGCTGTGCTACGCCCCGTCCTGGGTGTGCGACGGAGCCAACGACTGCGGGGACTACTCGGACGAGCAGAACTGCCCGGGTGAGAGCGGGGCTGGCCGGTGACGGGATGGGGCTGGGGAGCTTGGCAGGCAGGCTCCAGCAGTGCCCTGCCCTGGCACGCCAGCAGGGGCTGCTGGTCCCTAGCTGGGGGGGGGGGGGGGAGGGGGGGACGGCTGTGTGGGATTAGGGGGGGGCGGGGAGGAAATGGCGCACGGCTGTGCTGAGAGCAAACGATCACACACAGGGATGGGGAGAGGCGTCCCTGCCTGGGGAGTTAGTGACTGTCCAGCCCCAGGGGACGGGTGAGGGAGGCACAGGGCTGGGATCAGGGAGCCATACCCTGCCCTGCCACACGCTGCCCGGCTGACCTTGGGTACGTCCCTGCATCTCTGGGCCTCAGTTTAGTCTGTCTCTCGAACGGAGTCCGGGCAGCATCCCAGGGCCCCCATCTTGCAGCGCTCTGGGGCCCCCGTTCCGGTCAGGGTCTGGCCAGCACAACGGGGCCCCTGTCTCGGCTGGGGTCTGGGCGCTACCGTATCCCCGAGTCATGGAAGAGAATGTGGGAGGGGAGTTTCTCTGGGTGCCCCCCGTTGACCCCACGCAGCGCCGGCTGATGGAGCTCTGTGCCAGGGTCGGTCTCGCCCTGTCGCTCTGCAGAGCCGAGCCCAGGGTTCGCTGTGCGGTGTAGCCAGGCTCAGCCGGTGTCACCGAACGAACCGTGGTGCCTTTCCCGCCCGCACCCCAGGAGTGAGGAAACCCAAGTGCCCGGCCAATTACTTCGCCTGCCCGAGCGGGAGGTGCATCCCCATGACCTGGACGTGCGATAAGGAGGACGACTGTGAGAACGGCGAAGACGAGACGCACTGCAGTAAGCACATGGGGCGGGGAGCATGGGATTGTGGGAGGTAGAGCATGGAGGGGACAGACTGCAGTGAGTCCCCCCCCCCCCCGGTCGTGTTATTCCCAGTTTCTACGACGTGAGTGAGGTTTTAAATCTCTCACATCCGTCTCCCAGGGGCCAGGGATTGCCCACTCTCCCCTCCCCGAGGCTGGACGCTCTGGCCCATGTCACTTCGCGCAGACTAGCCCCTCGACTTTTCCCTTCTCTAAAGAACAAAGATCCAATTTCCTAGCCTTGGCTTTACGGTGCCGCCAGCGCAGGGGCCCCTTGTACGTTTGCACACACGGTCTCGTGCGACAGCTTCACGCTTGTTTCGGGGCCGGCGTGAGTTGAGTGCTGGGATGGTGACCCTGACAACCCTTGAGTCGTCAGCCAGCTGAACAGAATGATCAGGGTGGCGTTAGATACCAGTCTGGGTGAGGGTCCTGCTGGCCTTCAACTCGGGGGGCTGCTGGAACCCCAGTTTTGATCACTTAGAAGCTATCGACGTGGAACTTCCACATCCAGCGCACACCGCCCCCGTGATCCTACTGTTCCCACCTCATGAGATCTAGGCCCTGCCTAGCGTAGAGCCGGTGGTATCACCCGCTCAGCCCCATGCCCTGAGCCCCAGCAAGAGCAGCATCTGCCCGGCCAAGCGTCCTGTCCCCCTTGTTCCCTTCCCCGAGCTCCTGACGCCGCCCTGAATGCCGCCTCTCCCTCCCCTCCCAGATAAATTCTGCTACCCCGTGCAGTTCGAATGCAACAACCACCGCTGCATCTCCAAGCTGTGGGTGTGCGACGGGGCGGACGACTGCGGGGATGGCTCCGACGAAGACAGCCGCTGCCGTAAGCCCGTCTCCCCTGCCGGGGTGGGGGAGACCCGGAGAGAGGAAGGGGGCCTGGCAGAAGGGGGCCAGGGGTGTCTCTTTGAAGTGCAAAGCCAGGGAGCCGTACCTTACCCTTGGGGGAGTGGAGACTAGTGGTTAGAGCAGGAGGGTGGTCTGAACTCCTGGGTTCTGTTCCCAGCTCGGGGAGAGGAGTGGGGTCTAGTGGTTAGAGCTGGGGGGCTGGGAGCCTCCTGGGTTCTTTTGCCGAATCCGAGAGGTGAGTCTAGTGGTGAGAGCAGCAGAGTGGGGACTCTTCGGTTGTGCCACTGATTTGCCAAGTGACTGCCTGGTGCCTCAGTTTCTCTATTTGCAAAATGAGGGGGGGTGGCTCCGCCTGTCTGTGAGGGGGGTGAATCAATCGCTGGGTTTCCAGTTGTTCTGAGACCCTCCACCAGAGGGGGCAGTGGATGTGCTGCCTATTTCTGTGGCGGGGCGAGGGAGTGACTGCCGGCAGGTCCCCCGGTGTGGGGATGGATTCATGCTCAGGCAGGGTCCTGACCCCGCGAGCTGCTTTGGGGATCATGTGAGACAGCCCCAAAGGGGCCCAGACCCAAAAACTACCCGGGGTTCAGCCAGCCCGAGCCGAATGTCGCCCCCATGCACGGAGCCAGTGCACCCCTGACGGCGTGTGCTGAGCTCATCTGCCGGGACCTCTTGGGGCATACGGGGGTGAGGTGCCCAGGCCCCTCACTGCCCTGGACGCAGCCTCTGTGGGGGAGCCCTCCCGGCACCCCCCACCCTGCCTTTCTCTCAATACCGGCCCCGCAAGCCCTGCTCACCCCTCTGTCCCCTGCAGGGCTGACCACCTGCAGCTCGGGGTCCTTCCAGTGCCCGGGCACGTACATGTGCGTGCCAGAGCGCTGGCTCTGCGACGGAGACAAGGACTGCGCCGACGGCTCTGACGAGTCCTTAGCCGCTGGCTGCTGTGAGTCGCCCTGTGGCTGCGCTCGGTTCGAGGGGTGGGGAAGGGAGCAGCCTATGGGCCAGGGAGCCAGCAAGCCGGGGAGCCCCTGAGCCAGAGAGCCAGCGGCCTGTGGGCCGGGGAGCCAGCAAGCCGGGGAGCCCCTGAGCCAGCGGCCTGTGGGCCGGGGCAGCCAGCAAGCCGGGGAGCCCCTTTGCCGGGGAGCAATTGACTCCGGTGCTATCACCCAGAGGCTGCAGCGGACCCGACAGTGCTGCTCGAGAGTCAGGCTGCCTTGATTCTAGTCCTGTGTGACCTTGGGCCCCCCAGCCCCGTGCCTCAGTTTCCCCCTCTACACGGGGGCAGATGACGTTGCTCCGAAGGGGGGGAAGGGGTTGTGAAGCAGAGCTGGCTAGTTTGCCCCGTGCCTGCCAGCCTGGGCCCCTGTGTGAGGGCTGGGGACAGTTGCGGGGGGCCTGGCCTCGGGGCGCTGACAAGCGGCTCCTCGTTCCAGTGTACAACAGCACGTGTGACGAGCGGGAGTTCATGTGCGCCAACCACCAGTGCATCCCCAAGCACTTCGTCTGCGACCACGACGACGACTGCGGCGACGGCTCCGACGAGTCCCCGGAGTGCGGTGGGTGCTGGCGTGGAACGGGGCGGGAAGCTGGGGCTGCTTCCACCCCGAGCCCCAGCTCCTTGGCTCCCGGCTCTGAGCGAGACACGCGGGGGGGCGGGGGAGCCCCAGTTCCCACTGAGTTTATCAGAGTGGCGGGTGAGGCTGCGGGAGCTGCCAGCCCCTGCGGAAAAGGCCCTGCCCGGGCGCCGGGGGGAGGCGAAGTGCCAGCTTTCTCTAATCCTGTCCGTGCCGTGCCCAAGCCCGTGGTGATGCACTGCTCCCCGTGCGCCCGCTCTGAGGACAGGGCCTGGCGCTGGGGGCAGCTGGCCTGACCACGTTCCCTCTCTCCGCAGAGTACCCGACCTGCAGCCCCCACGAGTTCCGGTGTGCCAACGGCCGCTGTCTCAGCAACAGCCAGTGGCAGTGCGACGGGGAATTCGACTGCCACGACCACTCGGACGAGGCGCCCAAGAACCCGCGCTGCACCAGCTCCGGTAGGTGCCCGGGGACGGGCCCTGGGCTCCGGGGACTGTATTCTGAGCCGTTGCCATCATTTCCTGCCCCTTCCCTCATGTACAGCCCAGTGGGGTCTCCCGTGCTCTGGCCCTGGACTCGGTCCCTTTCTCCCCTGGCCAGCGCGCCCAGCCCTGGGCGTGGCCCTGGCTGGTGCACGGGGAGGGCTGTCGATGGGGTTCCCCGAGCCCGGCGCCTGCGGTGACCCCCTCCCTCCTGCCGTCGTTCCAGAGAGCAGGTGCAACGACTCGTTCTTCCTGTGCAAGAACGGCCGGTGCGTGCCCGAGGCCCTGCTCTGCGACAACAACGACGACTGCGCCGACGGCTCCGACGAGCTGAACTGCTTCCTCAACGAGTGTCTCAACAAGAAACTGAGCGGCTGCTCCCAGGAGTGCGAGGACCTCAAGATCGGCTATAAGGTTGGGTCACTGGGGGGGGGGGCCCAACCTGCGCCGGGGGGGGGCTGGGGTACAGCAGGTCCGTTGAGCCAGAGGAGCTGACGAGCAAGCCCGGCTCCTGGCAGCTCCGAGCGGGAGTTGGGGGTCGGGTGGCTCCCCACGCGGCTGTTCCTCCATTTGTGTGTGCGCACGCCGCCGTGTTTGTGGAGGGGAGTGTGCATTCACTATTTGTGCAGACGGGTGCCCAGGCACTGCTTGTGTGCACCGTGCGTGCCCGCCTGCTAGTTTTGCATACCTTGGCTGTGTATTTGTGCGTGTGCACGTGCGGTGATTGTGCGCGCTCACGCCATTTGGGCACGTCCAGGTGTATGCCCTGTTTGTGCCCTCGGGTGTGCACGGTCGGTGCACGCACGCATGCCCCTCCGTGCTGCAGGGATGCTCCTAACTGCCTCCCGCTGCCTCCTGCAGTGTAGATGCCGGCCCGGGTACAGGCTGAAAGACGACGGGAAAACCTGCATCGACATTGACGAGTGCACCACCACCTACCCCTGCAGCCAGAAATGCATCAACACGCTGGGCAGCTTCAAGTGCCTGTGCACAGAGGGCTACAAACTCAGGCCCGACCACCCGACCAGCTGCAAAGCCGTCTCAGGTGAGAGCAGCTCCGGGGCGCTTGTGCCGAGGGGCTTTGCCTGCCGGGGGATCAGACAGAAACCTCTAGGTTTGCGGAGGATCCTGCCGTGTCCGAGGGGTTGGTATCTCTGCACCAAGTAGCTTAAGGAGAGTGCCCGTCAGGTCTGGACTGGCAGACTGCAGGCCGGGCAATCGGGGTTGCTTTGCCGTGTGCCCTCGCTGGGCCGAGCCAGCATCACGCCAGGGAATCCGGTTCCCCTGGCGGTTTTTCTGGGTGAATTCTGGCTGACGATGGTTGGGCAGGCTGGAGAAGTCCAGGTTTGGCCTGCCGCAGTGCAGACCAAGGTGCCTTTGGCCGGCTCCGTTTGGAGGGTTGGTGGCTGGGGGGGCAGTTGCCACCAGCTGCAGGGCCCATGCAAAGCTGAGGACAGCATCGGAGTGTGTCTGTGCCTGGGGAGGGGGGGATCTGACGCGTCTTTCCCCTGCAGACGAAGAGCCCTTCCTCATCTTCGCCAACCGCTACTACCTGAGGAAACTCAACCTGGACGGCTCCAACTACACGCTGCTCAAACAGGTGCTGCCGGGGGGGGCGTCTGCGCCATCTCCACGTGGGCTTGAACTGGGCTGCTCCGGGTGGGGGTAGGGTGTCCCCACTGGCTCCTGGGGTGGAAGCGGTGTCACCTGGGGGGGATTGCACCCCTCCTCCCCCGTCAGGTTTGGGGCTCAGGGAAAAGGCCCCCCGGTTTAAGGGCTGCTCCTTGGAAGCCACCGGGGGCCTCCTTGATTGACACGAGCTGAGGCTATTTGGGCACCTGGAGGCCCCAGCCCAACCCGCAGCTGTGCAGGCTGGGTGGGGGATGTACCCTCCTTCCGCCTCCGCTTTGCCCCCGTGCCCCAGACGTGCCCGCTGCTCAGGGGAGGGGGAAGGGCTCCATCTCGCTTCCTGCCGTGAGCGCTAACGCCAGCCCAGCTCGCAAAGGAGCTCCGTGGTAGCTGGCTGCAAATATGGTAGGTCCTATGCAAACAGTAGGACTGCGCTGATTAGATCTCAGCTGGAGTATTGTGTCCAGTTCTGAGCGCCACATTTCAGGAAGGATGTGGAGAAAGTCCAGAGGAGAGCAACACAAATGATGAAAGGTCTAGAAAACATGAGCTAGGAGGGAAGATTGAAAACCTGGGTTTGTTTAGTCTGGAGAAGAGAAGACTGAGAGGGGACGTAACAGTTTTCAAGTACATAAAAGGTGACAAGGAGGAGGGAGAAGAATTGTTGTTCTTAACCTCTGAGGACAGGACAAGAAGCAATGGGCTTAAATTGCAGCAAGGGAGGTTTAGGTTGGACATTAGGAAAAACTTCCTAACTGTCGGTGGTTAAGCACTGGAATAAATTGCCGAGGGAGGTTGTGGAATCTCCATCACTGGGGATTTTTAAGAGCAGGTTAGACAAACACCTGTCAGGGATGGTCTAGACAGTACTTAGTCCTGCCATGAGTGCAGGGGACCGGACGAGATGACCTCTCGAGGTCCCTTCCAGTCCTGTGATTCTATGATTCTAATAGCTCCTTGGTAGCTGGTTGCGTCTATGGTAGGTCCTACGTAAACATTGGCTGTCGTTGTTTTAAACCTCTTGAGTACAGAGGCTTGGAATCATGGTTGGGGAGGGGCAGGAGGTGGCTCAGTTTTTAAGGAAGGCCCAGTTAAAAAGCAACTGTGGAAGTGCCCCCCTTGCCACCCCCGCTGGCCAGCGAGGTGGCATGAGCGCGAGGCCTAATGCATCTTCCTCTGGGCTGCGCTGGCTCCAGGGGCTGAACAACGCCGTGGCTCTGGACTTCGACTACAGGGAGCAGATGATCTACTGGACGGATGTCACCACGCAGGGCAGCATGATCCGCCGCATGCACATTAACGGGAGCAACGTCCAGGTGGGTGCTGGGCTCCCCCCCCCGGGGGGTGCCCTCTTTGGGGGACCCGGCAGGGAGGGGCCGCTGGGGGTGGCGGGGTTCGCCTTCCCAGGGGAATGGGGTGGGGCTGCCGGGCAGGGCCATGCATACCTGGGACGGGGCAGGGTCTCTGGGTGGGGCCCGTGTCCCTGGGGAATGGGGCTGGGTCCCAGGGCAGGACCCACAGTCCTGGGGGGCAGAGGGGGGACAGGGCAGGGTCTCTGGGCAGGAGCGGGGCGGGGTCCTCTCTGAACAGGCCCTGACTTGTCCCGTTCTCCCGGCAGGTCCTTCACCGCACCGGTCTCAGCAACCCCGACGGGCTGGCCGTGGACTGGGTGGGCGGGAACCTGTACTGGTGCGACAAGGGCAGGGACACCATCGAGGTGTCGAAGCTGAACGGGGCCTATCGCACGGTGCTGGTGAACTCGGGGCTGCGGGAGCCGCGGGCGCTGGTGGTGGACGTGCAGAACGGGTGAGGGGGCACGGCCGGGTCTCACCTTTCCCTTGTTCCCAGATGCAGGATGCTCCGAGCTCCCTTCTGTGGGCTGGCGCATCAGCTCCTGCCCACGGCACCCCCCAGAATTTCTGTTCTGAGCGAGGTGCCTGGAGTCAGGACTCCGGGGTTCTGTTCCCGCTCCCAGCTCTGCCTCTTACACGCTGGGAAACCTCCCTGCCGCTTGGTGACTCGGTTTCCCCTCTTGTATGGGGACAGAAGGACGCTGTAGCAGGGCTGCTGGTGCTGTTTCGGTTGACTCAGCCTCTCCCGTTGCTGTTCCCTTTGTGCCCCAGTTACCTGTACTGGACGGACTGGGGTGACCACTCCCTGATTGGCAAGATCGGCATGGACGGCACCAACCGGAGCGTCATCGTAGACACCAAGATCACCTGGCCCAACGGCCTCACCCTGGACTACATCAATGGCCGGATTTACTGGGCAGATGCCCGGGAGGACTACATTGAGTTTGCCAGTCTGGATGGCTCCAACCGGCACATCGGTGAGGCCGGCCGGGAGCTGCAGCTTTCGGCCAAACACAAATGGTTTTAGCATGAGACTGGGAGCCAGGACTCCTGGGTTCTGATCCCAGCTCTGCCGCTGACTCCATCTGTGCCCTTGGGCAAATGACCTCACTGTTGTTTCTTGCCTCAGTTTCCCTATTTGGGAACTGGGGATGAGCTGTCCCTGCTGTGGGATTCACAGAGAGCCACGCTGCTGTCGCGCAAGGCAGGTGATCGTCCCCTGCTTTTTAGGAGTGCAGAGGGATAATTAACGCTGGTGTATCCAAGCTCACATATTAATATTAAAGTCTTCTTAAAATCACATCCCCTACCCACTTCCAGTCCCCGGCTCGAGTGGCCTGGCAGCTCCCAGGTTTGGGGGCTTGAACCCCGGGCTCTGCCGGTTTTGCCAAGGGGCCACGTCCTGTAGGTGACTCAGCAGCAGGTGATTGCAGTGTCTGGCCTGTAGAGGGCGCCACGTGCACACCTAGTGACGCACGGCCGCCGTGCTCTGTCCTGCACGACTCTGGGGGGGGGGGCGGGGGGCTGCGTCCCTGCCTGGCCTGAGCTGCCCCCTCTCCCTGCAGTGCTGAGCCAGGACATCCCGCACATCTTTGCGCTCACCCTCTTTGAGGACTACATCTACTGGACCGACTGGGAGACCAAGTCCATCAACCGAGCCCACAAGACCACCGGGGCCAACAAGTCCATGCTGATCAGCACGCTGCACCGGCCCATGGACATCCACATCTACCATGCCTACCGCCAGCCGGACGGTGAGCGGGAGGGAGTCCCGGGCGGGGGGCTGTCACCAGGAGCTGGGTCAGCAAGGGCAGGGACCGCGGCCCCGGGGGGACCAAGGCACGAGGCTCTCTGATTTCACACCGTCTCCCTGGGGGCTCTGAGGGGGGGCAGGGGCTCAGCTGGCACAGTGGGGCCCAGGCTTTGGCATCTGGATCCCGCCAGCGGCTCTAGTTAGAGACGCGTCCTCGTGCCCAGCTGCCCAAATGGGGGATGGCCGCTTGGGAAATGAGTCACCAGGTCTCCGTCTGGTCCCTGTGGTCAGCAGCCCCAGCCCGGGGGTGGCCCCCAGCCCCACATCCAGCGTCTGACCTGCCGGCCGGGCTCTCTCCAGCCCGCACACGCTTGCCCGCGGGTTCTGGAGTCCGATCGGGACCCGACAGGTGGATCAGGATCCAGTGGGGATGGCTGGAGAGTTGCTACCTGCTGGGTCTGCGCTCGGATCAGCACGGACCCTGCTGGCAAGACCGCTGCCCAGCTCCTCTTCCCATGGGACGCCCCGGATTGCATGGGGCCAGGGCTCACCAAGGGGTCCAGGCCCTGTGCGGAGTGGGGCTGGGATGGGGTGAAGGAGAGACGGTGGGGGAAGAATATGTAGGGGTGAGGAGCGACACGCAATGAGGGAGGGGGATCACCTGCAGAGCGGGGGTCAGGAGTCCGCTGCACCCCCGGACGGTCTTACCCCAGCGCGCTCTCTCCTCTCCCCAGTCCCCAGTCACCCCTGCAAAACCAACAACGGCGGCTGTAGCAACCTGTGCCTCCTGTCCCCGGGCGGCACCCACAAGTGCGCCTGCCCCACCAACTTCTACCTGGGCGGCGACGGCAAGACCTGCGTCTCCAACTGCACGGCCAGCCAGGTAACCCGCTGCTGCCAGGGCCCCGGTACCTACCTGTAACCACAGCCAGACTCGGAGACGGGATGTTTCAAGGCCGGAGTCTCTTACTCCCGGCCCCTTGGAGATGTGGGGCTGAGGCTCCAGAGAGGGAAGATGTGTGGGAGTCTGGGTTGGCACCGCGTCATCCCAGCTTTGTGCGGGGGAGGGGGAGCAGGCATGTACTCCTCTTGCTCTCAGTGCATCTCGCTGGGCGGGGGTAGAGCAGGGAGAGACCCAGAGGGAAAAGCTCCCTTGGTCCTGGGGGTCGCCCCCATGCCGCTGCCCCACGGGTCCTGCCTGGAGCCGGCCTCACAGCCTCGTCTCTCTGCCGCAGTTCGTTTGCAAGAACGACAAATGCATCCCTTTCTGGTGGAAATGCGACACGGAGGACGACTGCGGGGACCGCTCGGACGAGCCCGAAGATTGCCGTGAGTGACGGGGGGGTGTGGGCGGCACAGCCAGACCCAGGCGCTGCTCCGCCCACCCTCAGGGGCTGAGCTCCCAGCCCCATCAGTGACCCGAAGGAGAGGCACAGGGGGCCCTGCCCCTGCCCGCTCGGAAGGTGGGGTGGGTTCCCCTGCTCCAGCAGCCGCCACTCCCAGCATGGCTCCCGCCAGCGGGGAATTCCAGGCCCCGGAGGTGTCCCCGACGCCACGTGCCGGGATGAAATGGATCCTTTGCCTGTTGACGTCTCGGCGAGATCTGCCAGCCGCAGAGCCCCACGCAGCCTTTCCCTGGGGGGGCCCACAGGGAGAACCGCGCTGAGCAGCCTTATTAACCCCATCCCACCCCCCCCCCAGGAATCAGGAGGTTTCTGAGTCAGGGGAGTTCGTTCCCTCCCAGCTCCGCTCCCTTCACAGAGTCCTAGGGGCCACCTTGGCAAAGGCTTCAAACCCCGGCCCGGCTACTGGCTGGGGAGCAGAGAGCGGCACAGGGCCCGGCTGGGGGCGGGGTGGGACTCTGAAGCGGAGCAGAGCTGGGCCTGCCGACCGCCTGCATGGGAGAGTGCTGGTGACTCAGCAGGGGGCGCTCTCCTCTTGGCCTGACACTGCGGGGGGGCTACGCAGCTGAGTCTTTAGACTTGGTTGTTAATGAGTCCAGGTGCTTCTTGCAGTAATAGGGCGTTTAATGGCCAGTGCTCTGCAGCTCCCTGAAATCTTCCTTCTGCTTTTAATTGCAGATGGGAGTCTTCTTTGCTCCCTCTCCTCATTGGCTGCATAGTGTTGCTGCGTGCTGTTAAACAGCAGCCATGTCCCACCCCAGAGGTGGCTGCATTTCAGTGAGGGGTGAAACGATTCATATCAGAATTTTGTAAACAAGTTGTGGGCCAATTTCCTGCCACCTCTGCAGCCCCATTGACTCCAGTGTGAGGAGGAGTGCCTGTGTAACACGCTTCCCTGCCTGGTGGGATAACAGCCTACTGCTGCTCTCGGCTAATGGGGCTACTCCTTTGGCTCATGCCGTAGGGGCCTGTGCTGGCAGTCCAGGGTCCCTGCCGAGGACCCCTGGGCCAGGCAGGTTTGCCCAGTGTGCGTCTCCCAGCGCTGTGGAAATGCCAGGGTTCATCCGGCGCGAGGCGTCACCACCTCCCCTCTCTCTCCTCAGCTGAATTCAAGTGTCGCCCAGGACAGTTCCAGTGCTCCACCGGGATCTGCACCAACCCGGCCTTCATCTGCGACGGAGACAACGACTGCCAGGACAACTCGGACGAGGCCAACTGCGGTACGGCCCCCGGACGCCTGGGTCCCCAGCAGGGCTCCTGATTCCCAATAGCGGCAATGCAAGTCCAAGCCAGTCCCCTCACTGTGTCCCCTTTTCTGTCCAGATATCCACGTCTGCCTGCCCAGCCAGTTCAAATGCACCAACACCAACCGCTGCATCCCTGGGATCTTCCGTTGCAACGGGCAGGACAACTGTGGGGACGGCGAGGACGAGAAGGATTGTCGTGAGTGACGGGGGTGCTGGGGGGGGGCATCCTGCCTGTGGGCACTCGGTGCCGCGGGGGTGCGGAATCAATCGCCGGGGGGGCGGATTTGCTTCCTCCCCCCGCTCTGCTGTCTGCAGCATGGACAGCCCTGCTCGCTGTATCCCGGCTGGAGTCGCTGCTGTTCTGATTCAGATAAATGCTTACGCCTAATATCTAGTAGCAATGAGTTCCACAGGTTACAAAATAGCCGAACAACATTTCCTTGTGCCCGTTTGAAAGGCGCAGCCTTGTACCCATCCTCTCGTCCCCAGGGCTGACTGGGGGCGCAGTTAGCCTTGGTATTAATTGGAAAGGGCTTGTTCCTGCTTTTGAGGCCAGAGGTAGGGAATTCTCCCCGAGCCGCCTCAGGGCCGCCCGTGTGACGTGCCTGCGCTGCCCGTCATGTCGCTGTGGGAAAAGAGGCTCGTGATTATCCCAGCCGTGAGTCAGAGGCTGCCGTGGGCATTGCTGGGTACTTTTCCCCGGGCCCCCAAGCCCGTCTGCGCTGGGGGGTGATTAAAGGCAGAGCCCCAGTTTCTGCTACAGGGCCCCCCCTGACTCCCCTTTCCTTTGTGCCCCCTGCGCAGCGGAGGTGACCTGCGCCCCCAATCAGTTCCAGTGTGCCGTCACCAAGCGCTGCATCCCCCGTGTCTGGGTGTGCGACCGGGACAACGACTGCGTGGACGGATCAGACGAGCCCGCCAACTGCAGTAAGGAGCCGCTCCCCTGGGACCCTCGGTGGGGGCGTCCAAAGGGTGGGGGTGCTGGCCTACGCCGACGCTAACCCCCCTCTGCCTCTTCTCCCCCACCCCCAGCACAAATGACGTGTGGTGTGGACGAGTTCCGGTGCAAGGACTCGGGCCGATGCATCCCAGCACGCTGGAAATGCGACGGGGAGGATGACTGCGGAGACAGCTCGGACGAGCCCAAGGAGGAATGTGGTGAGCTGGCGCCACGGTCGGCAGGGCCGGGACGAGCGGCTCTTGCATCTTCTGCTACGTTCCGGGGAGTGGGCTCCGCAGATCAGGGGGTCGGTCACCAGCTGTGGGGGAGCTGATTGGCTCTGAGGGGGGTCACGGCTGCCTCTCGTCCACTGTAGATCTGCTCACGGCACTCCCTGCTCACCCCTGCACTCCGGCCACCTGTATTCAGCGCTCTCGCACCTCACCGGGGTGCCACCCCTCGGGTGAGCAGATGAAATTGACATTGGTCTTTTATTCCCACTCCCCCCCCCCCCCCGCCCCCATTCCTGGCCTTTCCCCTGCTCCCCCCGCCCTGCCTTTCACTGCAGACGAGCGCACCTGCGAGCCGTACCAGTTCCGCTGCAAGAACAACCGGTGCGTGCCGGGCCGCTGGCAGTGCGACTACGACAACGACTGCGGGGACAACTCGGACGAGGAGAGCTGCAGTACGTGCCACCGTCAGCCCCGCGCTGGCCCGGGGGGGGATGGGGAGGGAACAGGACACGGCCTTCTCCAGCCGGAGGAAGCCTGTGGTGGATGCACGGCCCCGTGCTGAGGAGTGGCGTGGGCTGGTCCTGCTGCTGGGCGGGGGGAGGCTGGTTGCTGTGGGTGGAGCCAGGAGAACCCTGCTGGGCTGCTCTTGGACGGGTCGATGAGCAGATTCACATGGGGCTGCGTCAGGGGCCTGCCCTGTAAGCCCCCCAGCGTGGTCTGTGGCATGTCCTGGAGAGAGACAGGAAGGTGATCCCAGCGCTGGGATCTGTGCACCACTTAGGAAGGGGTGTCGTTTCCATGAGCGCAGCCTTCCCTTCCCCAGCACGGCTGCTCTTAAATCACTTCCCCAGTGTCTTGGATCGGGTTCGCTGAAGTGCGAGGTCAGAGGATCCGTGCGGCACTAAATCACTTTTGGCTAATCTGCTTGCGCGGCTGCACCAGTAAGGTGTGGTTTTAAACCGATTGAAGGTGTGTCTCCACCGGACACAGGGATGCCTGCCTGAGCTGGAAATCACCCCTTCCACTCCCGTGTAGACACGCCCGCGGCACAAGGCCATCTGGACACCCTGATGGCAGTTCAGTTGAAGCTGATTAGGATCAGCTTGAACTGAAATCAGAGCGTCACCACGCAGGTTGGCACCAAGTGAACGAAACCGATTTAACTGAGCCAGTGCGAATGTGCGTCGAGACGAGGCCTCGCCCAGTCAGACTGCGTAAACCGGTTCTCGGACTGCGGTCCTTGCCCCTCCAGTCTCTTTCCAGGCATTAGGATGGAATTTTTTTTTTTCCTTTTTGTTGCTCTCATGTCGTGTATTTGAGTTTGTGCCATTTCACCTCATCTTACGTTTTTCTCCATTTTCACACTGTCGTTACGGGGTGCTCAGAGGTAGGTTCCTGCCGAAATCTTCTTAATTCCATTTAAAGTGTTCAGTAAATAAATCAACCAACCAATCTGGAGGAGAGGGGATGGGGGGCGGGTGAGAGACCGACACGGACAGTCATTCTGAACCTCGTCAGCTGAATCTGCTGCCCCCGGGCACAGAGAGAGACAGGGTTAAATATTACCACATCCGGGACCCATGCATGGCTCATATTTAGCTCCAAGTTCTACCCTCGCCCCATCTGCTTCTGCAAATTGACCCAGATTGGTCTGCTCTCCCCAGCCTCAGCCCCCGTGTGCACCTCCCCTCCCACCCTCTTGATGCCTCCAGAGGGGACATGGCGCATGATCTCCCGCGGGTGGAGCAGGAGATGGGGGTGCAAGTAATTCAGCGGGTTCCTCCAGGCTGGCGCAGGGGCCATGGGGCCAGCAAAGCCATGCGTTGTGGGGGCGGGAGCAGATCCCCGTTCCGAGCAGGTATTGCTGTGACATTCAGAGCAGCTCCGCGCACAGCGAGGGAGTGCCAGGAGACACGTCGGGCCCCCCGTGCCAGCATACCCGTTGGCACTCTCCGCGGTCCTGGCAATCACCCCGCCGGGCCCGAGCTCTGCTGTGGGAGCCAGCAGCTCTGAGGTGCGCCCTCAGCTCTAGGAGACGCAGTTTAAACACGTTCCACCTGTCCCACAGCCAGTGCACGAGCGCCGTAGCCGCTGACCGGTCAGTCTCGGCCTGTCCCTCAACGGGAGCGCCCCCTGCTCCCGGAAGATGGGGATTAAGGATGGAGCTGCAGCCGGAGAGGGTAGCTAGAGCTGGGACTGTCCCTCCCTCCCTTCCCCCCTCGTCCCTCTGGGGAAGCTGGGATGGTTCGGGGCCAGGGGTGGCATTTGAAGTCAATATGAGCCATGCACCTCTCTGGGCATTTCCCCGGCTCGGCTTGCTCCCCCGGCGCCGCTGAATGAGTGTCTGTGTCCACTCCCCCCCGCCCGGTTAGCCGCACCGCTCACCGGGGACGCCCCGTCTTCTCTCCCCTCTGCCTCCAGCGCCCAGGCCCTGCTCGGAGAGCGAGTTCTCCTGCGCCAACGGGCGCTGCATCGCCGGCCGGTGGAAGTGTGATGGGGACCACGACTGTGCCGACGGCTCCGACGAGGTATGGACGGGGAGAGGGGGCGGCTTCCCCCCACCAGCCAGCCTTGGCCTGCCCCTCTCAGCTCTGGGGCCCAGGCTGCTGCAGCTGGGGCCTCCTGCTCGTGGGCAACCGGCCTGGCACCTGGGTAGCTCGCGACGCACCGGGGCTGGCTGTGCGCTAGCAGCCAGGACCAGACAGGCGCCTCCTCTGCCAGAGCCCACCCCCCATTTTCGCCCTGGCGGGGTTTTCTCTCTGCCCCCGCTCACTCGCCATCTCCTCCCGCCCTGCAGAAGGACTGCACGCTGCGCTGCGACTTCGACCAGTTCCAATGCAAGAACGGGCACTGCATCCCCATGCGCTGGCGCTGCGACGCCGACGCCGACTGCATGGATGGCAGCGACGAGGAGAACTGCGGCACCGGGGGTAACAGCAGCGTGGGCGAAGGGCTCACACACACACATACCCCCCCCACGCCTCGCGGCCGCGTTAACCCTGGAGCCTAATGAGGGAGCCAGCTGTGCTGGCGTGCGACCACGCGCCCAACCTGCACGTGCAGTCGGGTATTTGCATTGCAGGGCCTGCCAATAAAGAAGGGGCAAGAACCTGCCACTGGGTGTCTGCCCCCCGGATCCATGGGCCTGCTGTGGCTGGATGGGGGGCGCTGCCCCTGGCCTGGGTTCCGTCTCCTGGGCTCCTTTCCGATCAGTCGGCCAAGGGGGCTCCAGCGAACTCCTGTCCCCCTCCCCGCCCCCGGCGCAGCCCCCTCCCCACGAGCGCGGGCCCTGACGCGCCCGTCTCCCCCTCCCCGCAGTGCGCACCTGCCCCCTGGACGAGTTCCAGTGCAACAACACCCTTTGCAAGCCGCTGGCATGGAAGTGCGACGGGGAGGACGACTGTGGGGACAATTCCGACGAGAACCCCGAGGAGTGCTGTGAGTGTCCCCGTCCCGCCCGGCCTCCTGTCCTCCCGCTCCCTGGCTAACCCGCCTCCACGCATGCCGGGGAGGGGTGCACTGCTGGAAGGGGTGGGGCTTCATGCTGCTGGGGGCGGGGCTCTGGGAGGCGTGGGCACACCGCGTGAGGCCGAACCCGGACGGGGTGGGCGGCGCCCTGAGCTGACCCAAAGAATTCTCTGTCCTGGTTGGTGTCATGCTCAGGGTCAGACCGTTGCCAGCTTGGGGGGGGCAGGAAGGAATTTGATCCCCGGTCCGATCGGCAGGGATCAGGGGGAGCAGAGAGTTTGGAGGTTAGCGTGGAGGGGCCCCAGTTTGGGGTGGGGGGAGCACTGGGTTGGGGCTGGAGCCTTGGGGGCCTTTTGCCTCCCTCTGCCCCATGGGGCATGGATCACCGGCTCTCCCACCCAGGCGATTCCCTGTCATCGCCGGGCCCTGGGGGGCCCCGGTCTCCCCTGGTCTCTGCCTGTGGCTCGCAGCTCTCCCGAGGGCTGAGATGTTTGAGTCGGGTTCAGACGGGGGAGGCGGGTGCCGGTAACGCCCGTGCTCTGCAGCAGTGCAGGCTCCGTGGGCTGATGGCCTGGCCCCCGGGTGCTTGTGAGCGGTTCACAGAGCCCAAGGGGACTGGCCTAGTGGGCGAGGCCAAGGCTGGGGGGCCAACAAGCCGGGGAAGGGGCAGAATGTCAATGTGGGGGTCACTTCTGGAGGGGGAGCAGAGGTTTTGGGGGGTCAGCCCAGGAGGGGGCACAGTCTGGGGGGAGCGGAGCGGAGTTTATGGGGCTCTGAGCCTGGGGGATTTCCAGGGAGTTTGGGGTCAGCCCCGGTTTGGAGCCAGGTTCTCCAGCCGGGCCCTGCGATGGAGTCCGAGTCCTGGCACCTGGGCGCATTTTGGGGGGGGGGGGGGGGCTGAGCCAGGCAGCGGCGTCTCCGTTCACCAGCTCCGCCTGTCTGTCGCCGGCGCAGTGAGGTTCCAGTGCCCGCCCGGCCGACCGTTCCGCTGCAAGAACGACCGCGTGTGCCTGTGGATCGGGCGTCAGTGCGACGGCATCGACAACTGCGGGGACGGCACGGACGAGCGAGACTGCGGTGAGCAGCCCTGAGGTCACTGCCACTGCCCCGCTCTAGAGATGGGCGGAGTCAGGCCTGGGCGGGAGCCCCACCTTAGCCACGGCCACAGAGCAAGTCACATGTAGAGCCAGGAACGGAACCCAGGAGTCCTGGCTCCCAGCCCTCCACTCTAACCACTAGCCCCACTCCCCTCCCAGAGCCAGGGATAGAACCCAGGAGTCCTGGCTCCCGGGTCTCTGCTGTAGTCACTAGCCCCTCCCCCTGTTCCCCATCGTATCCTTCCTGGGGCAGGGAATGTGTGTCTGTCTGTGGGGCCGGGGTCAGTGGCCCTTAGCCCCCAGGGCTGCTCCCATGCTCTGGTCTCAAGCCCACTCCCCTGCCGGCCCCCACAGAGTTGCCCACCGCCAGGCCCAAGAGCTGCAGCCACGAGAAGAGCGAATTCCTCTGCAAGAACAAGAAATGCATCAGCTCCCTCCTGCGCTGCAACTTCTTCGACGACTGCGGGGACGGCTCGGACGAGGAGCCGTGTTCCCACGGCGGTGAGTGGGGTGTAAAGCGAGTCTCTCTCACCACACGTTGTAATAGTTCACAGGCGGGATTTCCCATCAGCCAGGGACCCCTCCCCCAGGTCAGAGTCCTTCCAGTGTTCGTTGATGTGCTGAGCAGAGAGATGGGAGAAGGAGGGGGGGCAGCGGACGTGAGGGTTGAACCTTCTCTGTGAGGAAATGTAAATTTCTTGTTTACACCTTCCTGCTGCTGAAGAACGGTTGCTTAAGCCGGTGATCGCTCTTTAACACCTGTCTGGGGTGCTAGTGTGTCTTTGTCCCTGAAAAACTAGTTTTCATCTGCTTGTCTGAACCTTGGAACAGTTTATAACAACGATACATAGTAGAATCTTATAATTCCACATACAGTGTTGATACGCATATTGTACCAGGACAATAATGTTCAGCAGATTATGAGTTTTCAGATGACTCCTCACAAGGTATTCTTTGTACAAAATGTATCATAGTATTGTAAATTGGTGACCATAATAGTACAGACCGTCACAGAGGGCAGGGCTGGGCTAGCAGGGGGCTGTGGGTCAGGATTGAGGGGCACCGGCACAGTTGTTGGGGGTTGCCCAGGGCTGGGCTAACAGAGCTGTGGGTCGGGA